CTGGTCGTCTAACAAGGCCCAGTGTTTGTCGTCTAACAAGGCCCAGTGTTGGTCGTCTAACAAGGTCCAGTGCTGGTCGTCTAACAAGGCCCAGTGCTGGTCGTCTAACGAGGTCCAGTGCTCGTCATCTAACAAGGCCCAGTGTTGGTCGTCTAACAAGGCCCAGTGCTGGTCATCTAACAAGGCCCAGTGTTGGTCGTCTAACGAGGTCCAGTCAACATACCTCCCAATGACTAAAATTGAAGAATATGATTGGATGAGGAGGAGTCTATTTCTTTAAGTGGCTGATAAAATGTTAGCTTTCTGCAGAATAAGAAAAAGCGAAAATAACAAATGATTGACATCTTTTCATGACGTAATATGGTGGTGATTTGGGGTTTGAGAGTATTTGCCACATAGTCGAAATCTTTAGCTTTTCTGTTTTTCTTTGCAATCGGTTGTTAACACTTCAGTTATGCAGTCCTTGGATAAAACTTATGTTATTTCATTACGTTATGACTTAAGGAATCAGGTCAAATTGCCTTAATTCTATTACACTATTAATTGAATCAACACGGCTATATTCTTCAATAAAGTCTAGGATTTTCAAATGTCTTAGCACACCAGTAAAGCAGTTTTGGGTTCAGACTAGAAAATGAAGCCGAAACCATGCTAGAAGACATTACCCGGTGTAACACGGATCATAATAGAAACCATTTTTCGCTACTAACTACTTGCTATAACGAAGACTTGTTTCGGCATGTACCAGAGTTTTATTGCTTAAAAATTGCAACAAAATATAAATGAAATGTTTTCATGCGGTATGTTGGATCAATATTTATTAAAATTGCAAAGATTTACCTGTTTATTAAACATATTGTAACTATTATTATGTCTTTGGGCCAATTTTTATTAAAATAGCCAAGATTTACCCTCGGTATAAGGTAAAACCGACTCACTGTGTCGAGATGCATGTCTTATAAGTGGCTCGCCAAGATCAACAACTTGGAAAAGACTGCCCTATAGCGATGATGTAACGCCATTATTTGCGCACCTTTTACCATGTCGAGTATTACTATATTTGGAAGGCTTTAAATCTATTACTCTTTTCGCATTGATAGAGGTACGGATTTGTTTAGTGCGCCCATAGACACAAGTCCTCCTGTCCCATTTCTACAAGCCCTGTCCTATTTCTACAAGTCCTGTCCCATTTCTACAAGCCCTGTCCCATTTCTACAAGTCCTGTCCCATTTCTACAAGTCCTGTCCTATTTCTACAAGTCCTGTCCTATTTCTACAAGTCCTGTCCCATTTCTACAAGTCCTGTCCCATTTCTACAAGTCCTGTCCCATTTCTACAAGTCCTGTCCCATTTCTACAAGTCCTGTCCCATTTATACAAGTCATGTCCTATTTCTACAAGTCCTGTCCCATTTCTACAAGTCCTGTCCCATTTCTACAAGTCCTGTCCTATTTCTACAAGTCCTGTCCTATTTCTACAAGTCCTGTCCCATTTCTACAAGTCATGTCCCATTTCTACAAGTCATGTCCCATTTCTACAAGTCCTGTCCCATTTCTACAAGTCATGTCCTAGTTCTACAAGCCCTGTCCTATTTCTACAAGCCCTGTCCTATTTCTACAAGTCCTGTCCTATTTCTACAAGTCCTGTCCTATTTCTACAAGTCCTGTCCTATTTCTACAAGTCCTGTCCTATTTCTACAAGTCCTGTCCTATTTCTACAAGTCCTGTCCTATTTCTACAAGCCCTGTCCTATTTCTACAAGTCCTGTCCGATTTCTACAAGTCCTGTCCGATTTCTACAAGTCCTGTCCTATTTCTACAAGTCCTGTCCTATTTCTACAAGTCCTGTCCTATTTATACAAGTCCTGTCCTATTTATACAAGTCCTGTCCTATTTCTACAAGTCCTGTCCGATTTCTACAAGTCCTGTCCGATTTCTACAAGTCCTGTCCGATTTCTACAAGTCCTGTCCCATTTCTACAAGTCATGTCCTAGTTCTACAAGTCATGTCCTAGTTCTACAAGTCCTGTCCTATTTCTACAAGTCCTGTCCTATTTCTACAAGTCCTGTCCTATTTCTACAAGTCCTGTCCTGTCCTATTTCTTCGGCCTGCACAAGTCTTTCATTAGTATTACGACCCGCCTTACCCTTTGATTTGTGCAGGCTTGCCATAGTGGGACATATTTGTTTAGTGCGCCCAAACCCCTAACACATAACAGCACACGAAAACATACTATGTACACAAACCAGCTGTGTACATGATAACAGATATATACATGTCCACAAGATATTTGTAAGAAAACGCAAATGTGTACTTGACAACCCAGATAGGTATGTAATAATCGTAGCTGTGTCCATATACAAATATCTGTTGATGGAAACAAATGTGTACATGACAAGCCAGTTGTGTACACTTGAATCCAATAATAAAGTCAATGCACCTTTTACCAAATGAGTTCCTATGACCACCATGTGTTCCTCTCTCCCCCACCCCCACCCCCTCCAAAGTGTGCTGAACATTCTAAAAGAGATCTTTTCTGACTTTGAACTGTTAAGAATGTAGCTGGACAAGATACCACGGCCCTTTCACGTTATGACAGGGAGTCTGACATTATGGGTGGAGGGAGTCTGACATTATGGGTGGAGGGAGTCTGACATTATGGGTGGAGGGAGTCTGACATTATGGGTGGAGGGAGTCTGACATTATGGGTGGAGGGAGTCTGACATTATGGGTGGAGGGAGTCTGACATTATGGGTGGAGGGAGTCTGGCATTATGGGTGGAGGGAGTCTGACATTATGTGTGGAGGGAGTCTGACATTATGGGTGGAGGGAGTCTGACATTATGGGTGGAGGGAGTCTGACATTATGGGTGGAGGGAGTCTGACATTATGGGTGGAGGGAGTCTGACATTATGGGTGGAGGGAGTCTGACATTATGGGTGGAGGGAGTCTGACATTATGGGTGGAGGGAGTCTGACATTATGGGTGGAGGGAGTCTGACATTATGGGTGGAGGGAGTCTGACATTATGGGTGGGGGGAGTCTGACATTATGGGTGGAGGGAGTCTGACATTATGGATGGAGGGAGTCTGACATTATGGGTGGAGGGATTCTGACATTATGGATGGATGGAGTCTCACATTAACGATGGAGGGAATTTGACATTAACGATGGAGGGAATCTGACATTAACGATGGAGGGAGTCTCACATTAACGATGTAGGGAGTCTGACATTATAGATGGCTCTTAAATGAACAGAGTGCCCCAAATTACGATTGAATTATATGAACAATCGTAGTTGACAAAGTGTAATCAAGAGTGTGACATAAAAAAAAAAGATCCAGATTATTTTCAATGAGGTTTATTGTGTCAGGCCGACATTAGATTTGTTTCGCTCGTATCCAAGAAGAAAATGTTTTTAAAGTTTTAGGAAATATTGTAATTTTAATATGAAATATAATTTTTATGTTATGGTAAAATTAGTATTTTCCTAGAGTCGTATTGTCGGTTTGTCCAACATTCCCGCGTTAACTGTCCCTGTGTGTGGTCTCGTTGACGTCACATAGAATGAGATTAATGCTTGTTTCCATGAGTGGGTGGATCAACGTACTCCAGGGCAATGAAAAACGGACGAGACCACGGCTATACAAAAACACACTTGAATACTTTGAAAAAACAAGGCCACGAAAAACTACCTGAAATGAATGAACGGGAACGAAATGCAGTAACTGTAGAATAAAACTAAAGAGTAACTGTATATTAACAGCCAGGGATATTTTAAGTTAAATGAATTCCTTCGATTAAGTACCTCTGTAATCTTTCTCAGTGTGTTGACATATCATGATGGTATCTAGTGTGTTGCCATATCATGATGGTATCTAGTGTGTTGACATATCATGATGGTATCTAGTGTGTTGACATATCATGATGGTATCTAGAGGCTTTGCACCTTGCACTCTATCTGGTCAAACGTTTGTTTTCACCTTGGTTTATCACCCCCCCCCCCCCAAAAAAAAT